AAAAATTTGTGCGGCTGAGATTACAAGTTGTAACTCGATTTCCACGCCATGTGTGGGTCCCACAAAAATTTACTCTAAAGTTACGCAATGTGCAATAAAAGTTACACGATGTACAAAAAAGTTACGCGCAATTGAAAATGGTCAAAACCGTCCGGGACGGTTGCACCTGCAACCGTCCGTGCCCCGAGTCCACATAACTGATACTTCTAAGTTCCGTACTTATCCACTACTACTCTCTCTCTCTCTCTCTATATATATATATATATATATATATATATCCAAGTCTTCCCGCTGACTTCAATTAAAAAAAACCTAAAATACTCTATAGTTAATTCTTTTGCTCTAACTAGTTTGTTATTTTATATCTTTTTCATTATTTACTTTTTCCTAAAATATACGCACACATAGTGTAGTGTGTGTGTCTCACCCAGTGATTCTAATAATTACACAAACTAGTATGACCTAGACGAGTTTTCTACTTGTGAGGCCCGTTATCCAACATTTACATGGATTACCATTTTATCTATTTACCTACACTAATTAATAAAAAAAAGAAGGACAAAATGATTACCTGAGTTGTATTGACACAGAGCCTAGGGCCCGTGAAGTTGAGTATTCGGAGAGTAGGATTATGTAGAGCCTTGTTCAGGTGGACGCGGGGCTGGAGCGGTTGTCAGAACAACCGCTCCGGAAGGTGTAACACCATTTGTACATGGTGTAACATCATCTGTACAATGTGTAACAATTGAACAACAGCGAGTAAAATATAACGACATTTTTGTGGATCCCATACGGCGTGAAAATCGAGTTACAAGACGTGATCTGAGCCGCACAAATTTTTTTAGCTTCATCCCAGCCGTGAACTGCCTGGGACGGTTGTCTCTGGGAACGTCCAGGCCCCTTGTCCTGTTCAGGTTGGGCCAAGTGACAGATTTCGGTGAAATGGAGCCGAAAATTCATAGGCCTGGCAGTCCAGAATAAGTTCCTTGGAAACTAGAAAACTGCATTGTTGGCCTCTGAGCTTTTCAAATAGGCTAACAAATATATAATGCCAGATTCCACTCTAGAATGTTGATTTTGTCTTTCAATTGTCATCTTTTGCACTGAATTTCCAGTTATAAGGATATGTCAGGATAATACGAACAACACAATTAAAGTAGAGGGAGACTACTGGAAAAATGAGAAGTTCGAGTGGAAATATTAAAACAATACTAAAAGAATAGAGTGAGTGAATATAAAGGGGGAAAGTTTTTCGAAACTTCTTCTAACATTTCTGAAAATTTCACCTAGCGTCCCTCTAAATTCAACAATTACGCTAACCACTCTTGTATTTATTATTTGGTAACAAAATCTTTGAAAAGACACAAATTTCACATAAAAATTCTAAATTGGCATTCTTTTTTTTTTTTTTAAGAAAAATGTTGTCTTATATTATTCTCTCTACCACCAAAATTCACCAACACTACCATTTTTCTACCTCCACAACCACCACCAAGGCTACCTCTATTACCACTATCACAGGCCAGCAACCAGAGCCCAGAGGGAAAATGAAAGTAAAAGAAAAATTCTCTGGTACTCTTTTCTTTCTGCCACTGGAGCCATCGCTGACAAATTTATCCCTGTTACTAACATCATAATACAAAGGCACATGTTGGAAGACAAAAATAAAAACCATATAGAGATACGCTATCAGCCCATTTTCCAAACTATGGCTTTTACATCCACTTCTATATTGATTACCTTTAATAAAATCATAACCAAATCAACTATTAAAATTTGTTTTTTTTTTTTCCAATTTTGGAAATTGTTTTGAGATATCACAGAAATTATCCAGAAAAGCACCAAGTGGGAATCTTTTAATTGTTTAATAAACATTCCTCCGGCGTAAGAATTTCCGATGCTGAGTCACGACTCACGACCAGACCCTCCCAGTACGTGAAGAACACAAGGGACTGGCAATTATATTAAATTAGGAATTAGCCCCTTGAGGTTGTTTAATCATAATTTACCCCTGTTCTTTTGCATCTTAAGTACATTGCTTTTCCTATGTTGTCATTAGGTATATACTTGATCGTTTACTTGCACCCAAAAAAAAAAAAGTTTACTTGCATGACTGACCGGGGAAACAAGAAAGCTATAAATTATGATCCACTAAACAAAAATCTTGCATTTATATAAATAAATAAATTTATTGATGCATATTATTGGTTGTAATTCTTAAATTATCCAAGCCCAAGAATTAATATGAACAAGGAGAAGGAGGGTATAAGGCCAGAGGTACCGAAACCATTTGGATGATATTTAATTTGGTAACCCAATCCGTAGTGTAAGGATTTTAATTTTAAATTTGAAATTCAGTTTTTTCAAAGGTAGTGTACAAAGGTAGTATACATCTACAACTGCTAGTGTAAAAAATATTGGAAAATTGGAAAATGTTAGGTCTAAATATGTCTTCAAGGAAACTTTAAAGATGAAAATGGTTCAAACCCCAAAACATTTGTTATTCCCATTTGACAAATTTTCAATTGGTTTGGTGATTTTCTATCAAACATTTTGTATTATTTTAAATTGCAAAAAAGAGAAATTTGGCATAACTAATAGTAAGTTTTTGCACAAAACAAATAACTTTTATTAGTTATTGTAACTTGCTATTTAACTATTAAATCTTACTAGATTTTTTAGCAAAAAGTACCATTTTTTCCCAAAACTTAGCATTTTTTTTTTATATAAAGCATATGATTTCTCAAGAAAAACTTATGACTTCATTAACAAATCTTACCACTTTTTTAGTAAAATTTCCTATATCATTAACAGAACCTTTCTATTTTTCGAACAAAACTTTCCTCTTTTTTTTCACAAAACTTGCTTCTTTTTCAAACAAAATTTATGACTTTGCTAATAAATTTTAACATTTTTTCATGTACAATATACCAGTAAAGATCTAAATAATGATAAGATTGATTACTACTGCCAAATGGGAATTGGCTGGAGACTTGAATAAGAACTAAATAAGAACAGTAGCAGTAAACACGGATATAAATACCAATAAGATGCACCATTTGAATATAAAATACAAATGGGAATTGGATGTACTGGATATTTGATAAAGCTTAGCTCAGATGGGTGGTTCATTTAAATGCTAGTAAAAATTGCTGACAAGGACGATTACCTAAAAGTCATCGTGGAAAATTGAACCAGTCCATCAATAATTTGGGATAGGGATAGTTGTCGGGTTAATAATCTTGAACGGTTTTTGTTAATATTTTAAATAATAAGTTAGGTAGTCAATGAAAGTCCTTGGAGACATATTCTAGATTCAATTAATGGAAATGTTCATTCCCTATCAGTCGTCCCCATTGAAACGTGTGATAGCAGGATAACACCTATATGTGGCATCATCTTAACCACTCATTTATTATTAGGATGACTTCACTCATTTATAATTATGTATCAATCAAAACAACATGTGTCCATTTAACTTCCATGAATTAGATGAATTGCAGAGAATCTTCACCCATATAATTGCAGACATTACAGATCATATAATTTGGTTGAGGCCCTTACAATAAGTGAAAGTATTGGAACACCAAACCTACTATTCTAACCCCTTTGAAACGCTGTATGTGGACGTCTTGATCTTGGATGCTATGCATTTAGGAATTGTTGTCCTTCTTTTTCTTGGTTTGATATTTGCATTCTAGTTTGTTGGTCTATTCATTTTTTATTCTTGAGCTTCATCTTCTTTATAATTTAAAAGCCACTAAAATGTTTTACTTATGAAAAACTTTATGATGCCACATTAATGTCAAAGAATGTCTTCCTTGGAGAAAAAAATATAGATTAGCTCAAAAAAAGACTAAAAAGGGGGTTCCATACTTGCTGTTTGTCGCACTATATATAATTCACTTTACATATAAATGCTTTTTGGAATGCTCAAACCTCTTATTCAAATACATAAAGTTTTGAAAGATCAAATTTTGATAATGAACAAGTACATAAAAATAAACAAAACTTTTTTGATAAATGTGCACCCTTTTGTTTTTGGTAACTATCCAACATACAATGCAGACTGACGCCTTCATGCTTCTTTAACATAAACCTATTAAATTTAGCATTTTTTGACAAAATTTCAATAGGTTTGGAGATTTTAAGTCAAACATTTTAAAATTAATTTAGATTGCAAACAACCGATAGAGAATCAAAATTTCCATTAAGTCGGTACAAAACATTCTCTAGCGATTTTGTCCACAAGAAAATAAAAATTTTCCATGGTGGGTCACGACTTCCACTGATGAGTGGACTTAGACCCAGCACATCCGCCGATTTTCTATCCAACTTGGAACGTTATATGTTGCCGGTCAAGATCTTGAACGTTGTTTTTTTTAGGTTCTCTGTGCTTCTTATAATTTTAAATGCGCATTTGAAATTCTCAAAAAATTACTTTTTCTCATTTTATGTGGAATTTTTAGTTATATTGCTAATGCTTACAATTAATGATAACTAACAAAAATAACTGCTCATGTATATTGTTTTTAACACAAAAGTTCACAAAACATGAATTTTCAAAATATAAAACTAATTTCCAGAAAAATAATTTTTACAATTAAATATAACTTGAATTATTTACGCATACATATAGTGTGCTCCAATCACTAGTTTATATGAATAACAAAACATAGGTTAGGATTGATTTTTGATGGTAACGCAGGTATCCAAATCAAATTAAAATCCAAATATAAAATGAATTAATATTTCCATTTGTATGTCTCCAAGGATTTTCCCCACAAGCACGGAAGGATTTTCCACGCTGTCTTTCCCCTCCACCACGTTAACAATTTTTTTTCCACGAAGACTTGAAGTCGTCGTCCTTTATCACCTTTGTATGGTTCCTTCCTATTTCCCACAAACACAGAATGGTGAAGTGATGCTTTTTATAAGAGTATAAATGAGGCCACCCATCTGCGCTTACTATATCAAATAAACCAATAATACCAAAGAAATCCAATGGAGCATCATCTTCTTTGTACTTTTTCATCTTTCCTATTTCTCTTCTTATTCAGTTATATTCCTATCACTAGCCAGCTCCCATATGGTAGCAGCAGCAAACAAGCTCATAATTATTCGAATGTCTCCTGTGTTGAGAATGAACGACAAACTCTTCTTCAATTCAAGCATGAGTTGATAGATGGATCAAATCGTCTGTCATCTTGGATTGGAGAAAGCTGTTGTTCATGGGAAGGTATTAGTTGCCACAACACAAAACCACTGGTAGTGTTTTGAAACTTGATCTATGCAATACGGTGCCATTTTATGATTCTGATGATGGTTATCATTGGACAAATTGCTTGGGAGGCCAATTGAGTCCATCTTTGGTCAATTTGACCAATTTGAGATACTTGGACCTGAGCTCAAATAATTTTTCAGGAATCCAAGTTCCCGCATTTCTTGGATTGTTGAAAAACTTGAGATACCTCAATCTCGCAAGCGCAGGATTTGATGGTGAAATTCCCCGTCATTTAGGAAATCTCTCGCATTTACGGTATTTAGATCTTGGATATTCAGGTTTCTCATTGAGCACTAAGGATCTCGGATGGGTTGCTGGGCTCTCTTCTCTAGAAGGCCTAGTCCTGTCCACGGTGAGCGTTATAGACGCTCGAGATGGGTTACAATCAATTAACATGCTTCCTTCACTAACAACACTAGACTTAAATGGTTGTGGTCTTTTCATCCATCCTCATCTTTCACATGTCAATTTCACATCTCTTGCTTTCCTTGATCTCGTCGTAAATAATTTCAACAACAACATGGTCCCTTCTTGGGTCTGTAATCTTACTGGCCTCCATGATCTTCGTTTTGGTAATAATAATCTTTATGATCCAATTCATGGCCTGTTTGACCAAATGACCTCTCTAGTTTATCTCGATCTATCTCCAAACCGCTTTGATGCTTCAACGTTGAAATCACTTTGTAATGCAAGCAGTCTTACTTATTTGGATCTGAGTGATAATAATTTGCAAGGGTCAATACCAAGTGAAATAGGCCAACTTATAAATCTTACTTATTTGGATCTGAGCGGCAATAATATGCAAGGGTCAATACCAAGTGAAATAGGTCAGCTTCCAAAACTAACAAGGCTATTATTGTCATCTAATAAATTAAATGGTACCATACCAATCAATCTTGGGCAGCTGACGAAGCTACAAGATTTTGACGTTGGAGACAATTCATTGACCGGGGTCCTATCTGAAGACCATTTTGCGAAACTACGAGAGCTGAAGTCACTGGACCTAACTGGAAACTCACTCGCTCTGAACGTGAGCTCCTCATGGATTCCTCCTTTTCAACTCCGTGAAATTCAGATGCAATCCATCATAGTGGGACCTAGGTTTCCAGCTTGGCTTCGGACACAGAAGGGGCTTGAGGTTTTAGACATACGGAAAGCGAGCATTTCAGATGCCATACCCAACTGGTTTCTCTCTAAAAACAAATCGTCCACTGTGCGCAGCTGGTTATATCTTTCACAAAATTTTCTTACTGGACATATTCCGCAGCTTCATCATGCGCTGAGCATTCTCTCTCTGAATGATAACCGTTTCACAGGTACTATCCCTGAAGATTTGTGCAAGTTGGAAAATTTATATATTCTGGATCTATCCAACAATCTTCTGTCCGGAAGAGTTCCTCTGTGTCTAGGAAACTTGCAACCTGAAGCACCTAAAGTTGGCAAATAACAGTCTATCCGGTCAAATTCCGATTTCACTGGGTAACTTGTAGCAACTTTATGCTCTGCATTTGAATGGAAATAAATTCGTTGGAAAGCTCCCGTCATCAATGCAGCTTCTGAGCACTTTGGTAAGTTTTGATCTCGGTAACAATGGACTAAATGATATTATACCAGCTTGGATTGGGGAAAGGTTATCAAATTTAAGGATTCTAAGATTTCAGTCAAATAACTTCCATGAACCTATTTCTGATACAATCTACCAACTCTCAGGTCTTCGAGTTCTAAACCTAGCACATAATAACTTGAGTGGATTTATTCCTCACTGCTTTAACAACATTAGTGCCATGATGGTATCAGGGCCAGATGGACTTTACGACATTTATGGACAAGATAGCCTTCAAGACATTAAGGGAGGAAGAGAAGATGAGTTTGACTCAGGGGACCTTCGGCTTCTTAGATCCGTAAGCCTCTCAGCAAATAATTTAGTTGGCGAGATCCCTGATGGGTTAATGGAGCTGGTTCAATTGCAAGTTTTGAATCTTTCACAAAATCATTTGACTGGAAGGATCCCCAAGAAGATTGGCAACTTGAAGCAACTTGAAACATTTGATCTTTCAATGAATGCACTCTCCGGTGCAATCCCTGAAAGCTTATCTGATTTGTACTCATTGAACTCTCTGAATTTGTCACACAATAAATTTTCAGGGCCAATACCATCAGGAAATCAACTTCAGACCTTGACCGATCCATCCATCTATGAAGGAAACAGTGGACTCTGTGGCAAACCGCTCCCAAACAGTTGCTGGGAACACAAATTGCCTACCAAAAATAGGCCTATTGATGATGATGAAGTCCATGGCGAGTCTGATTGGTCTTGGTTTTATGCTGGAATAGGACCGGGTTTTGTTGTCGGGCTTTTGGGAGTTCTGGGAATCCTTCTCTTCAAGAAGTCATGGCGCTATGCATACTTCAAGTTTATAGAAAGCGTCTGTGACAAAATCTGGGTAAAGACTACTCGCCTGAGGAGGAATTTCCGTTGAGTAAGTTCCTATCAAAGCACTTATACTGTATTTTTCATATCACACACTAAGGAGCCACAATATCCGTAGCATACTATCTTTGATAACTTATTCTTTTTGCTTTTATATGTTGATTGTAGAGAACTACTTAGAACTTAACATTGATAATTTGACGAATTATTGTAATTTGTAATTTGTTTTTTCCAAATATTTCTGAAGATTTTTTTTATGCATCCCAACTTGACCAATTCTATCCACTAAGAAAATGAATGCCTATCTAGTACTTTTTTTGTCCAAACAAAGAAGCTTAATAAATTATATTAATAAAAAAATAACGTAGCAATTGTAACATAAAGTAGTAGATGCCTGTGACCAATTAACTAAATCAAGATGATTCTAACCTCAAATCAATAGCATTCCAAGGAATTTTTTCCCAATAAAATATCGTTTGATTGGAAACCATATTTCCTTTCCTTACCTTTTGAAAATTTTGATCCCAAAACAAGATAGCAAAACCTTTCTCTCTTTCTACTAGCAATTGTTTCAACTCTCTCAAAAGTTTGAATTGTAATAATTCTTTTATATTATTCATGCCTACATTACATTCTCTTATGTTTCATTAAAGTCGATATTACGAGAATCTCATCAATTTTTTTTTGTTTACGACCAATTATAAAGATAATTATTTTACTGTTAGCATTTGAATGGAATAAATATTCTATGTCGAACAATTTTGATTGTTTGTCTTGTTCACCGATCTAATTTTCTGTCAACGGTTTTATGCTTTAGAAGAATTCTGTAGGAGTTTAGGCTAATAGTTGATGTAGTTATTTAATTTCTAATTGGTTTTCAATCTAGCTTTTCTCTGAAAAACTCTTACAAACTACTAATTAATGTTTTTAGGTACTTTTGAGCCATTGATTATTCTAGATGAATAAATTTTTATATTCATGAACTGTTGATATATATTTTGCCCTTGAAATTGGCACTTTGCTAGAGAAAATTTAGTAATATTGGTACTTTGTTATTTTCCAATCTGCTAGGCCCACAATCATTCAAGTGCTTGCTGCTGCTGTTGTGGCCCTCAGAATAAGCAATTTCTTCTAGGTGATTTGAGAAGCAGTAATAGTTTCACTGTTTTTTTCTGTATGGTTATATTTTGAGTACTAGCTGTTTTTCAGGTTTTTTTTGGCATCTGCTGATGTAATATGAAAAATTAGACGTCCTTTTATTTGCTATGAATTGTATGTCAATAAAAGTTATAATAGTTTGCCTAAGAAATTTTAGTATTTTGTTGTGCCTGACAAGAGACTTCCATAAACTAAAAAATTATGCAGAATAATTAAAACATATGCTTGACTCCATGTATACTTATAATAAGGTACTTGCCATGATATCGCTGTTGGCTTTGCAATTACTGCTTCTCACTACAACAGAGTTGGTCGAGGCTACCAAAAACATTGTAGCCATAGACTCAAAAATCGTGGTCTTTAATAATTAACTACGAAAAAATATCTTAGCCAAAATCGTCACGATATCCACGTCGCAAAAGGTATTAGATGACAATTTTCCAAAATCGTAGTCAAAAGTTTAATTATTTCCTATGTTTCCCATTTTTGTAGCCCAAAAGATTATCTTTTATGACGAAATTGAATGTCGGCAAAGATATTTATTTTCATAGCAAAAAAAAACAAAACTTAGATTTTGCCTTTAGCTCCACCGATTTTCCAACAAAAATCTTATTTTCAACTATGAATTTTTCGTAGCCAAATTACTTTGATATTGCTACAATTTTTTCGTAGCCAATTATGATAACTTTTTGCTACACAAATGTTTGGTATTTTTGAGGTTGTTTTTGTTTGGGTATTATTATAACATTTTAGTTGAAAATTTTGTTTTCAAAAAATCACCAATCCAAACAGAGCAATTTCCAGAAGAAATAGTGTTTATATTTTGGATTATGCATTTGTTTAAGTAAATTAGCGGCAATACAGAAAATCAATCTTGAATTGACATCTTCAATTTCACAATTCATTAGGTATGATCAATTGATGTGTTAGTAGCTAGAATTTATTAATTTAATTCCTAATCTTTAATCAAAATTGTCTTCACAATTTCAATGCCAATCAAAATTGTCTTGTTTCTATTTTCATAACGCAGAAACAAAAGATGCCCATAATCTTATTACTATAAAAATCTAAGTGCTCAAATGCTGAGCATAAGGCCCCATTGAACCATATATAACTAACTCAAGAACAACTTTTGAAATGATCTACTTTCTCATGTTTCTTCTGCAGATCGAGTATAATGAAAATAATTTAAGATGAATATTAACAAGTAATTATTGTACACTCGAAATAAGAGATCTAGAACAATAAAATTTTTTTTATGTAAATCAACAATGCATTCAAAGTTATTGATCATTGCTGCCCAGCAATGAGTCTTTCCAATTCGACAAGCCAATGTGGGAACTAAAACAATCCACTGGCTCGTGTTGTCATATACTTTTGATAGTTCTCTACATTTTAATCTCCAAAACAAGAATCAAAGAGAAAATTCTCAATGTTGGACTACCTGAGCCATCCCCTTAGAAATGTTGCAAGCTGACCCTATAAATTTTATTTGAAAAAGTAGCAAGTTCTGTACAAAAAATAGCAAGTTTTGTTCGAAAATAGAAAGGTTTTGTTAATGATATAGTTAAATTTACTAAAAAAATGGTAAGATTTGTTAATGAAGTCATAAATTTTTTTTAAAAAAAAAATAGTATGTTTTATATAAAAAAAAATGCTTAGTTTTGGAAAAAAATGGTAATTTTGCTGTAAAATCTAGTAAGATTTGATAGTTAAATAGCAAATTACATTACAATAATAAATAAAAGTTATTTGTTTTGTGCAAAAACTTACTATTAGTTATACCAAATTTTACTATCACAATTTTGTCCCAAGTGAAACCTGCAATAGCAGGATAAAACCTATATGTCGCATCATATTAGCCACTCATTTATAATTATGTATCCATCGAAACCGCGTCCATTTGGGCTTTGTAAACTTTTCAAAGTCTTGTGGTTAACTTCCATGAATTAGATGAATTGCATGATGAAATTGCAGAGAATCTTCGCCCAATTGTATACAATTGATACGTCATTGGGAATTTTTGCTGTCATCCAGACATGGATTGCCCAATAGGGTGGCTTGATGCTAGGAGTTGTTTTCCTTCTAAAATGACCCATATAATTGCCGACATGAACAGATCATTGGTTGAGGCCCCTACAATAAGTGAAAGTATTGGACCACCAAACCGACTACTATTCTAACCCCTTTGAAACGCTTACATGTATTGGACGTCTTGATCTTGGGGGCTATGCATTTAGGAAATTTTCTTTGCTTTTCTTGGTTTGATATTTGCATTCTAGTTTGTTGGTCTATTCTTTTTTTTTTTTAGCTTCATATTCTTTATAATTTAAAAGCAATTAAAATGTTTTACTTATGAAAAACTTTATAATGCCACATTAATGTCAAAGAATGTCTTCCTAGGAGAAAGAAATATAGATTAGCCCAAAGAAGACAAAAAAAAGGGGGAGTTTTATGCTTACATGCCCTTCAAGAGAAACTAATAGAGGTATAATTCACTTTAGGTATAAATGCTTTTTGAGTGCTCAGACCTCTTATTCAACAATATAAACTTTTGAAAGATCAAATTTTGATAATGAATAATTACATTAAAAGAAAAATTCAAAATCTATACAAAACTTTTTTGATAAATGTTCACATTTTTTTTGTAACTATCCAACATGAAATGCAGACTACTGTCCTTCGTGCTTTAGATTTTGTTGTTCTCATCTCATGGAAACCTTATTTATTTGCTTCTTTAACATAGACCTATCAAATTTAAGATATGTGGCAAATTTTCAATAGGTCTGGTGACTTTAAGTCAAACATTTTTAAATTGATTTAGATTGCAAACGTGAGGGTCATAAATCAGAAAATCAATTCCACAACCAACTGATAGAGAATCAAAATTTCCATTAAGTCAGTACAAAATATGGCTCTAAGGATTTTGTCCACAAGAAAATAAAAATTTTCCACGGTGAGTCACGACTTCCATTGACGAGCGGACTTAGATCCAACACATCCGCCAATTTTCTACCCAACTTGGAACGTTATATGCTGCCCAATTTCCATGATCTTGAACGTTGTTTATTTAGGATTTCTTTGCTTCTTATAATTTTAAATGCACATTTGAAATTCTCAAAAAATTACTTTTTCTAGTTTTATGTGGAATTTTTAGTTGTATTGCTAATGCTTACAATGAATGATAACTAACAAAAATAACTGCTCATGTATATTGTTTTTCACACAAAAGTTCATAAAACATGAATTTTCAAAATATAAAACTAATTTCCAGAAAACTAATTTTTACAATTAAATATGGCTTGAATTATTTACGCATACATATAGTGTGCTCCGATCACTAGTTCATATGAATAACAGAACATAGTTAGGATTGATTTTTTTTGGTAACGTCAGTATCCAAATTAAATCAAAATCCAAAAATAAAATGAATTAATATTTCCATTTGTATGTCACCAAGGATTTTCCCCACAAGCACGCAAGGATTTTCCACGCTGTCTTCCCCCTCCACCACGTTAACAAATTTTTTTCCACGAAGACTTGAAGTCGTTGTCCTTTATCACCTTTGTATGGTTCCTTCCTACTTACCACAAACAGAGAATGGTGAAGTGTTGCGTTTTATAAGAGTATAAATGACGCCACCTATCTGCGCTTACTATATCAAATAAACCAATAATACGAAAGAAATCCAATGGAGCATCATCTTCTTTGTACTTTTTCATCTTTCCTATTTCTCTTCTTATTCAGTTATATTCCTATCACTAGCCAGCTCCCATATGGTAGCAGCAGCAAACAAGCTCATAATTATTCGAATGTCTCCTGTGTTGAGAATGAACGGCAAGCTCTTCTTCAATTCAAGCATGGGTTGACAGATGAATCAAATCGTCTTTCATCTTGGGTTGGAGAAAGCTGTTGTTCATGGGAAGGCATTAGTTGCCACAAAACCAGTGGTAGCGTTTTGAAACTTGATCTACGCAACACGTTGCCACCCTATTTTGATGATAATGATTACTTCAAAAATCGCTTGGGAGGCCAATTGAGTCCATCTTTGGTCAATTTGACCAATTTGCGGTACTTGGACCTGAGCTCAAATAATTTTTCAGGAATCCAAGTTCCCGCATTCCTTGGATTGTTGAAAAACTTGAGATACCTCAATCTCTCAAGTGCAGGATTTGATGGTGAAATTCCCCACCATTTAGGAAACCTCTCACATTTACGGTATTTAGATCTTGGGGATTCAGGTTTCTCATTGAGGACTAAGGATCTCGGATGGGTTGCTGGGCTCTCTTCTCTAGAAGGATTAGTTCTGTCCAGTGTGAACCTTACAGCCGCTCGAGATGGGTTACAGTCCATTAACATGCTTCCTTCACTAACAACACTAGACTTGAATGGGTGTGGTCTTTTCATCCATCCTCATCTTTCACATATCAATTTCACATCTCTTGCTTTCCTTGACCTTGGTGAAAATAATTTCAGCAACTACACGGCCCCTCCTTGGCTCCGTAATCTTACTGGCCTCCATGATCTTCGTCTTGGTGGTAATGATCTTTCTGACCCAATTCATGGCCTGTTTGATCAAATGACCTCTCTAGTTTATCTCGATCTATCTTCAAATCGCTTTGATGCATCAACGTTGAAATCACTTTGTAATGCAAGCAGTCTTACTTATTTGGATATGAGGTTTAATAATTTGCAAGGGTCAATACCAAGTGAAATAGGCCAACTTATAAATCTTACTTATTTGGATCTGAGTGGCAATAATTTGCAAGGGTCAATACCAAGTGAAATAGGCCAGCTTTCAAAATTAACAAACCTATCATTGTTTGATAATGAATTAAATGGTACCATACCGATCAATCTTGGGCAACTGACGAAGCTACAAGATTTTGACGTTGGTGACAATTCATTAACTGGTGTCCTATCTGAAGACCATTTTGCGAAACTCCGAGAGCTGAAGTCACTGGACCTATCTGGAAACTCACTCGCTCTGAACGTGAGCTCCTCGTGGGTTCCTCCTTTTCAACTCCGACGAATTTGGATGGGATCCATCATTGTGGGGCCCAGGTTCCCAGCTTGGCTTCGGACGCAGGAAGAGGTTTGGGAGTTAGACATGCGGAACGCGAGCATTTCAGATGCCATGCCCAGCT